TGAAGCATTAATTCAATTTCACATTAAAAAAAAACTAACATTTAAAATAATAACTCCCATTCAAATAACAAATGAAGCATTAATTCAATTTCACATTAAAAAAAAACTAACATTTAAAATAATAACTCCCATTCAAATAACAAATGAAGCATTAATTCAATTTCACATTAAAAAAAAACTAACATTTAAAATAATAACTCCCATTCAAATAACAAATGAAGCATTAATTCAATTTCACATTAAAAAAAAACTAACATTTAAAATAATAACTCCCATTCAAATAACAAATGAAGCATTAATTCAATTTCACATTAAAAAAAAACTAACATTTAAAATAATAACTCCCATTCAAATAACAAATGAAGCATTAATTCAATTTCACATTAAAAAAAAACTAACATTTAAAATAATAACTCCCATTCAAATAACAAATGAAGCATTAATTCAATTTCACATTAAAAAAAAACTAACATTTAAAATAATAACTCCCATTCAAATAACAAATGAAGCATTAATTCAATTTCACATTAAAAAAAAACTAACATTTAAAATAATAACTCACATTCAAATAACAAATGAAGCATTAATTCAATTTCACATTAAAAAAAAACTAACATTTAAAATAATAACTCACATTCAAATAACAAATGAAGCATTAATTCAATTTCACATTAAAAAAAAACTAACATTTAAAATAATAACTCACATTCAAATAACAAATGAAGCATTAATTCAATTTCACATTAAAAAAAAACTAACATTTAAAATAATAACTCCCATTCAAATAACAAATGAAGCATTAATTCAATTTCACATTAAAAAAAAACTAACATTTAAAATAATAACTCACATTCAAATAACAAATGAAGCATTAATTCAATTTCACATTAAAAAAAAACTAACATTTAAAATAATAACTCACATTCAAATAACAAATGAAGCATTAATTCAATTTCACATTAAAAAAAAACTAACATTTAAAATAATAACTCACATTCAAATAACAAATGAAGCATTAATTCAATTTCACATTAAAAAAAAACTAACATTTAAAATAATAACTCCCATTCAAATAACAAATGAAGCATTAATTCAATTTCACATTAAAAAAAAACTAACATTTAAAATAATAACTCACATTCAAATAACAAATGAAGCATTAATTCAATTTCACATTAAAAAAAAACTAACATTTAAAATAATAACTCACATTCAAATAACAAATGAAGCATTAATTCAATTTCACATTAAAAAAAAACTAACATTTAAAATAATAACTCACATTCAAATAACAAATGAAGCATTAATTCAATTTCACATTAAAAAAAAACTAACATTTAAAATAATAACTCCCATTCAAATAACAAATGAAGCATTAATTCAATTTCACATTAAAAAAAAACTAACATTTAAAATAATAACTCACATTCAAATAACAAATGAAGCATTAATTCAATTTCACATTAAAAAAAAACTAACATTTAAAATAATAACTCACATTCAAATAACAAATGAAGCATTAATTCAATTTCACATTAAAAAAAAACTAACATTTAAAATAATAACTCACATTCAAATAACAAATGAAGCATTAATTCAATTTCACATTAAAAAAAAACTAACATTTAAAATAATAACTCCCATTCAAATAACAAATGAAGCATTAATTCAATTTCACATTAAAAAAAAACTAACATTTAAAATAATAACTCACATTCAAATAACAAATGAAGCATTAATTCAATTTCACATTAAAAAAAAACTAACATTTAAAATAATAACTCACATTCAAATAACAAATGAAGCATTAATTCAATTTCACATTAAAAAAAAACTAACATTTAAAATAATAACTCACATTCAAATAACAAATGAAGCATTAATTCAATTTCACATTAAAAAAAAACTAACATTTAAAATAATAACTCCCATTCAAATAACAAATGAAGCATTAATTCAATTTCACATTAAAAAAAAACTAACATTTAAAATAATAACTCACATTCAAATAACAAATGAAGCATTAATTCAATTTCACATTAAAAAAAAACTAACATTTAAAATAATAACTCACATTCAAATAACAAATGAAGCATTAATTCAATTTCACATTAAAAAAAAACTAACATTTAAAATAATAACTCACATTCAAATAACAAATGAAGCATTAATTCAATTTCACATTAAAAAAAAACTAACATTTAAAATAATAACTCCCATTCAAATAACAAATGAAGCATTAATTCAATTTCACATTAAAAAAAAACTAACATTTAAAATAATAACTCACATTCAAATAACAAATGAAGCATTAATTCAATTTCACATTAAAAAAAAACTAACATTTAAAATAATAACTCACATTCAAATAACAAATGAAGCATTAATTCAATTTCACATTAAAAAAAAACTAACATTTAAAATAATAACTCACATTCAAATAACAAATGAAGCATTAATTCAATTTCACATTAAAAAAAAACTAACATTTAAAATAATAACTCCCATTCAAATAACAAATGAAGCATTAATTCAATTTCACATTAAAAAAAAACTAACATTTAAAATAATAACTCACATTCAAATAACAAATGAAGCATTAATTCAATTTCACATTAAAAAAAAACTAACATTTAAAATAATAACTCACATTCAAATAACAAATGAAGCATTAATTCAATTTCACATTAAAAAAAAACTAACATTTAAAATAATAACTCACATTCAAATAACAAATGAAGCATTAATTCAATTTCACATTAAAAAAAAACTAACATTTAAAATAATAACTCCCATTCAAATAACAAATGAAGCATTAATTCAATTTCACATTAAAAAAAAACTAACATTTAAAATAATAACTCACATTCAAATAACAAATGAAGCATTAATTCAATTTCACATTAAAAAAAAACTAACATTTAAAATAATAACTCACATTCAAATAACAAATGAAGCATTAATTCAATTTCACATTAAAAAAAAACTAACATTTAAAATAATAACTCACATTCAAATAACAAATGAAGCATTAATTCAATTTCACATTAAAAAAAAACTAACATTTAAAATAATAACTCCCATTCAAATAACAAATGAAGCATTAATTCAATTTCACATTAAAAAAAAACTAACATTTAAAATAATAACTCACATTCAAATAACAAATGAAGCATTAATTCAATTTCACATTAAAAAAAAACTAACATTTAAAATAATAACTCACATTCAAATAACAAATGAAGCATTAATTCAATTTCACATTAAAAAAAAACTAACATTTAAAATAATAACTCACATTCAAATAACAAATGAAGCATTAATTCAATTTCACATTAAAAAAAAACTAACATTTAAAATAATAACTCCCATTCAAATAACAAATGAAGCATTAATTCAATTTCACATTAAAAAAAAACTAACATTTAAAATAATAACTCACATTCAAATAACAAATGAAGCATTAATTCAATTTCACATTAAAAAAAAACTAACATTTAAAATAATAACTCACATTCAAATAACAAATGAAGCATTAATTCAATTTCACATTAAAAAAAAACTAACATTTAAAATAATAACTCACATTCAAATAACAAATGAAGCATTAATTCAATTTCACATTAAAAAAAAACTAACATTTAAAATAATAACTCCCATTCAAATAACAAATGAAGCATTAATTCAATTTCACATTAAAAAAAAACTAACATTTAAAATAATAACTCACATTCAAATAACAAATGAAGCATTAATTCAATTTCACATTAAAAAAAAACTAACATTTAAAATAATAACTCACATTCAAATAACAAATGAAGCATTAATTCAATTTCACATTAAAAAAAAACTAACATTTAAAATAATAACTCACATTCAAATAACAAATGAAGCATTAATTCAATTTCACATTAAAAAAAAACTAACATTTAAAATAATAACTCCCATTCAAATAACAAATGAAGCATTAATTCAATTTCACATTAAAAAAAAACTAACATTTAAAATAATAACTCACATTCAAATAACAAATGAAGCATTAATTCAATTTCACATTAAAAAAAAACTAACATTTAAAATAATAACTCACATTCAAATAACAAATGAAGCATTAATTCAATTTCACATTAAAAAAAAACTAACATTTAAAATAATAACTCACATTCAAATAACAAATGAAGCATTAATTCAATTTCACATTAAAAAAAAACTAACATTTAAAATAATAACTCCCATTCAAATAACAAATGAAGCATTAATTCAATTTCACATTAAAAAAAAACTAACATTTAAAATAATAACTCACATTCAAATAACAAATGAAGCATTAATTCAATTTCACATTAAAAAAAAACTAACATTTAAAATAATAACTCACATTCAAATAACAAATGAAGCATTAATTCAATTTCACATTAAAAAAAAACTAACATTTAAAATAATAACTCACATTCAAATAACAAATGAAGCATTAATTCAATTTCACATTAAAAAAAAACTAACATTTAAAATAATAACTCCCATTCAAATAACAAATGAAGCATTAATTCAATTTCACATTAAAAAAAAACTAACATTTAAAATAATAACTCACATTCAAATAACAAATGAAGCATTAATTCAATTTCACATTAAAAAAAAACTAACATTTAAAATAATAACTCACATTCAAATAACAAATGAAGCATTAATTCAATTTCACATTAAAAAAAAACTAACATTTAAAATAATAACTCACATTCAAATAACAAATGAAGCATTAATTCAATTTCACATTAAAAAAAAACTAACATTTAAAATAATAACTCCCATTCAAATAACAAATGAAGCATTAATTCAATTTCACATTAAAAAAAAACTAACATTTAAAATAATAACTCACATTCAAATAACAAATGAAGCATTAATTCAATTTCACATTAAAAAAAAACTAACATTTAAAATAATAACTCACATTCAAATAACAAATGAAGCATTAATTCAATTTCACATTAAAAAAACGTTCTTGTTTCTACTTGTGAAGATTGAGCCAAAACTGAAGAATCCTGGTTGTTCCCTATCAACCATGCAATGATAATTATGGTCAAACATGGCTATTTAAGCACAATCCTATAGGAATATAAATAGAACATAGGAATTAACACAGTGCAAAGCTATAGCATTGAATATTTTTGAAATGGAATTACCTCAACATTTCTTAAGCTGAGTGCGCTATCAACATCATCTGTTGTCAACATTTCTTAGCATTGAATATATATATATTAATTATGGGTCCTTGTGAATGTTGACTTGATGTTGTGTAAGATAACTCTTCACAGTTTTCTTCAAATGAAAGTAGAAAATTTAGGAGCCCTTTCACAAAATAAAACGTATCTGTACATAATGCAATAAGGGAAACTGATGACCACAATATTCGAAAAAATAATTAAAAAACATGTAAGAAAAATACCTATATTCACAATGCTCAGGCCATGCACAACGAACTTTTCCATAATCCCAATAACAGTCATCTTCCCTCAAAGGTCACGCTTAGCTGTTCCATGTAAAATTTAAGAGGTAAAACAATTTAATGAAACAAAAAGAACTAAGAAAGAAGAGATCCACCTTTTGTAACAAATTTTGATTTTGAATCAGGATAGTTATCATGCCACATCTCAAGCCACAATTCCCGCATTAGAACTGGAGATCTAACAATGTGCCTGTGATTTGCTACATGAAAGCAATTCCAACTAATTTTAAAGTGCCGTTATGATTGATAAAGAGAAGAAACAAACTAGAGTAAGAAAAGAACTAGATCTATCTATATGGGTCTTAGTTCTTTCCTAATGTTTAAAATTGTGAGGAAACTATAATACGGTCAAATGTTTGTGGGCTGTGGTATAATTTGTAATGCTATTACTCAGATGAAAGGAAGACAGAGAAGCTTTTACAACATTTTTTTCACTATGCTAAGAGAATATCAGCATAAATTGTACTTCATGTTCTTGTGGAATTTAAGCGAGCTAACGTTATTTCAGCAAAGATTATTTCATATTTTTTTTGTTGAATATGACCTTAAAATGCAAAACTTGCTTTCCACAACCCGTGACCTTGAGATGTAGCCATAATTTTTTCTTACTATTTTACTACCCTTGGAGCACAAACCAAAAACTCATTTATTTGGCTATAAGGTTCATTCATCCTGTTTAAGGGAAATGATACATACAATACATGTGAACAGATAAATATGCGTGAAGTGTATAATTGATTGCTAGATACATTTACTTTCTATTAACAAATAACATATTAGATATTAGATAAAATAAAACAATGAAAAGTCTAATATTGCAAACCCAGACATTTTATAACAGAGAATTTTCACTCATTCTCAGCTAAGCATTTCCTTTAAGCCAAGTGTAAGTATTTACTGAGCCTGAAATCCTTTGAAGCCACTGTTGTCCAAAATTGCATACAACAGTTAACGTGATTTGTAAGACATTTTACATACCCTTGTCAAGCTCCCAAACTGCTGTTCTCTTTCCAGGAAGACTGTCAGAGTCTTCATAATAGGTTATGTACTTTATAGTTAACCCAATTGAGCAGTAAGAGACAATTATAAATCTTACGGCCATAAAAAAGTAAAGTTGCAGTCCTTCAGCAGGCCTATTAGCTTATTTCTCATGTTCTCAATGATCCAGGAGTGGTTACTATGTTTTATAGTTTAAGGTCCCAAACTATGAGATATGCTTTCTAGATAGGGCGGAGTGAAGCAGGAGGGTAAGAGAAAATGAAAATGAGCAGAGATGGTTCTAAAACAGCATGTCAAGTTTAAAAAATGAGCATACTAATAAACTAAAGTCAGTTGAAAAATGATCATTCTCCAAAGAGTGACAAAATAAACAATTTATTTTCAAATTACATGAAGCACAAACAAACAATTTACCAAAACAAGTCCAATTATGTTTGTAGGTTGCTCATAGTAGACTGGCACTCTTCTATGCCCTTTCTCCAAAATTAAATTCATCAGCTCCCTATTAGATATCAAGCATCATCATATATATGATCAGAACAAAGTTAAAAAAGACTTCAAGTAAACCTTCTATTCAAAAGTTTTCCAAAGCATGCAACACCTGTCAAGCTTGGCATTGATATCAACAGCAAAAGTGTCAGATATGGGAGTCATGGCATCACTGGCTGTTTTCTCAGTAAGCCCAAGGGCTCCAGCAATAATTGTTGTCTCATCATGTGTGAGTTCTCCACCTTTTCCAGCCTGTTTACAGGTAATTAGAAGACTATCAAGTCACAAGATAAAACATAAGGAAAAAGAAGCTCTTTGCAATGGAGTTTGAAGTGACCAGACTATCCAGAAATATGGGAAGTGTCTAACCAAAAGAACATCTAAAAACATCAAGTACTTCACGATACATGTTATTAAAAATAGCTTGTTTCAACATGTCATAATATATGTACCTCCATGGCAGCAGCATTGCATATAAGCAACGTGCAAAGCAATAAATGCTGTTTTCGGACAACCTTAATATCTTTTCTGTTGTGAAAAAGTAAAAGATGTCAATTATACTGTATAGTAGTACACAATCAAAATAAAGAGAGAGCCAAAGAATGCAATACAATTCTACCAACCTCAGCCATATGTAGTGTTTGAAGCATTACAAAAACAAAATCTAATAGTACAGCATATTTGGCATTTATAACTTGTGTCATCACCCATACATCACTAGCATCATCTCAATTATATTTATCTTGCAATATTTGTTTTTCTATTTATCTAGTCCAGCTAAATACCCCCCAAATGGGAAAATGCATGCCCTGTTTTCTTTGTAAGAAATGCCTTTTATTCATCAACAAGCCACTAAATGCTCTTCATACATGCTTGTCACGCTCACTCTCCTAACACTGTTGGAAAATACAAATCTGACTAATTGTAAGTTATATAGAGTTGACCAATGCAGATGAATTGAGACTAGCATTTATTTATATTAAAAAAATATATAGAATGGCAATTAAACAGAAGAGAGAATACATATAGAACAGAAACTCTTCAACTGCCTTCTCTCTAAGGCTTCCCCCAATTCTTGATCCTTCTCTGCACAAACGAAAATCAACAACCAAATCAACATTGTCCTTTCATAATGAAAATGCTGAAAATGAACCAGATTTTTAGAAGAAAATTTGTCTATCACTACAACTCCTTCAAAACACTGATTGTAAACCCAAACACAACACTAAAAATATAGAAAATAAATTATTATTTTTAAATATTTTGGGAATAATTACCAATAAATGTAAAAGCGATGATGATCAAGGCTTTAATCAATGCATCGCCATAGCCCTAATGCGGGAATCAGGTGATGCTCACCTTAGTAGACGATGGTGTTCGCTCCCCTCGCCGGTGCAGATGGTGGCGGCGGTGGCGCTTCGAAATCAAGAGAGAGAGAGAACTTCGAAATCAAAATCGAAATCGTCAATCGCTCAGAGATTGGATCTGAGATGAATCCCCAACCGCTCTGAGATTGGATCTGAGATAAATCACCAATCGCTCTGAGATTGGATCAAACGGGGCTGCAGAAGGTTGATTCGATCGGTTGATTCGATCGGTTGAGAGAGATTAGGGTTTAGAGAGGGTTGTGAGAGAGAGAGAGTGAGAGTGAGATCGATCCAGAGAGTGAGTGAGAGAGTAAGCGAGTGTTTTGGGTCCTTGACCCAAAATAAGACATTTGAAGAGAGAGAGAGAGAGAGAGAGCGCGCGCGCGTGGAAAAGTTGTACATTTGCGCGTGGGAGAGTTGGACATTTGGAGGCGCTTTAACATGCCCTCTCTTATAAAAACGGTATCGTTTTATTTTTAAAAAACTGTGGCGCTTATCAAACGTGATAAAATATTGAAAAAGATGACGTTTAAAAAAACGTCGTTAAATGAACGTCGTTAAATCTCATTTTTCTTGTAGTGTACTATCTTAAAGAAAGCATTCTGGATGTGTCTTACCTTTGTTCTGCTTTTCTTCTTTAAATTTATGTGAATCTTTTTTTCATACACATTTCTTTTTTCTACAACAACATATTTGTACATATATTAATTCATCACAAAAGAAGAAGAAAAAAGACAACAAGAACAAATTAGCTAGCATTGTAAAAAAGAATAAAAAATTAACATTTAAAGGTAAACTTTATAATATCATAAATGTAATTTCATCATAAAATAAACATTTGAACAGTGTAAATTATAGGAACTATTTAAAAATATAAAGAGTATGTAAATGAAGAACTATTTATAAACTTATACTAAAACATAAATTTTAGAAAGTTGTGCAGCCTAGGCCCATTCTCTCTGTGTCTTGCGGTGGGTTTGGGAGAACGGGGAAATGGGCAAAAGAGATGGGGTAGTGTTAGTAGTAAGAACAGGTTGCTACATGGGCGTGAGGAAGGGGTAGCAACAATGGTGATAGGTTTATGGAGGTAATGGTTGGCGTGAGAAATTAGTGTTTTGAATATTAGAAGTTTGGTTCTTTATGATGAGTCCGGATTCTCTGTAGGATTTTTCAACAAGGAATCCTGTAGTGCAAATAAAAACGATGTCGTTTTGTAATTTTTTTTTTTTTATGATGATTATTATATATTTATACTATATATAATTTATATTATATATCAAGCAAATGTTGAATTTTTGGTGTTCCAAAACCTTTACTTTCTATATGGAAAGTGTTTTTTTTTTTTTTTTTTTGGGTTCAAATATGAATTGTGATATTAATATGTTTATCAGTTATTTTTAATTTTATTTGTAGCTACTTGAATTATATACGCATTGTGTGTGCTAGTTGCTAGTTGTCTTGAATTAAAATCTTTGCCTTTTCATATTCCAAGTATTATTGTTTTTTAAAAAAATTAAATGGCTTTAATATCTATTTATCTATAATTACATAATTATTAGTCCACAAAATAATAATTGTTAGGATAAATTACAAATATACCCGTTGAGATTTGTTTAAAATACGAATTGCTCCTTGTAGTTTGGAAAATTACAAATATCTCATTGTCAAAAAAAAAAAATTATTTAATAGAATTAATTGAAAAAATGATATTTTCAACTGTTCTCCTATATAATGATAAAATTACCTGAATTATTGATTAAAATAAATTTATGAAATCATTAACAACTGCTAACTAACTTGATGATTTGTTAACAATAATTTGTTATAAAATTAGATTCTTCAAAGGGTATGATGTAATTTCCAAGACAACATGAGGCAATTGTATTTTAAACAAACCTCAGAAGGTGTAATTGTAATTTATCCAAATTATTAATAGTTACTGCTAGAATTTTAAATTTGTATTTATTAACAAATTATAAAAATAAAATTTTATTTTATTTATCTGTATATCACATAAATATTTATATAATTCACGTATTTGCATGGGTGAAAAAAAAGTATATATATATATATATATTATGGAGGAAAAATAAAAATATGAGCTCATGTCCAAAACTCACTAATATTAGTCCAAAAGGCAAAAGCAGCCCAAAGCAATTCCTCAAACCCACAAGGGACATCTGACAATAGATTGGTCTTGACTCGAGAACGTGAAGGGTAATCAAAAAGTAAAGATATCCTTTTGAAAGGAAGATCTGTAGAGAAAGGAGGATCATCAGATTGAGCTTTAACTATTGACAAATGAGAATACATGTTAGAAAATTCAGAAATATAGACTGAGAGCCTAGTGGACAACAACACTGTCCCATCAAAACCATCTCATAGCTATGATACTTAGCAAGTTGCTCACTAGCACCTGACATGATCTTAGCCATTCATACAATAAGGATCTAACGGTCAAGGGAGTAAGCAACTTGGCAACTGGACTAGACATTACCAAACAAAGGCAAAACCCTCCGATCAAAGGATAAACAGATGAATAAGATTTAGGCCAAACAACTATAAAATGGCCATCATGTAAAACACTAAGCACAGGAATGAGGTAACTCAAGAGTGATGCCCAAGTACATAACCCATCTTGTTCTCCTTTAATCGTGTTTATCTTTCTCGTATTGAAGATGTCGAGAACTAATCTGAGGCCTCATCGGCCATTTAGTTCCATCGTTCTTGAAACCTTTCTTAGATTTATATCTGAGGCACCGCTCGTGTAGTAAGGGGGTGTTTTTGGAGAGTTGGGACTGAAATAATTACAGGAGTAAAGGGCATGTGTGGGGAACGTGCTGCATGTGTAGAAGTGTGGGCCACAAGTGTGGCAATGAGGGGTTTTCTTAGAATGGCTTTCTGAAATAACCACACATGCGAGGGTGAGTGCCGCACATGCGACAAGGGTACACTTCGCACATGCAGAAAGAGGCACACACATGAAAATGCTAATGTTTGATTTTTTTTTCTCTTTCTTCTCCTTGGGCTGAGTGTATCTCATTTCCTCTCATCTCTCTCTCTCTCTCTTTCTCTCTGTCTCTCTTTCTAAAAACATATTTTCTCTTCCTTCTCTTTACAAATTCCTAACCACCACCATAAATTATTGATTTCTTCAAATCTATTGAAGATTTGACCTAACTTCCTTCATCAATAAAGAAATTAATATTATAATATGTATGTTGTGTAAATGGTAAGGGTATTTTGATGTCCAAAATGTTGCTATCAGTTTAATGTATTATTAATTTATTGGGCAGGTAACGCCGCAAAATAATTACAATAATCCAACCAAAATACTAATAACATGTGATATAAATAAGACAAGGATCTTTGATTAATCAGAGTTCAGTTACAAAAGGGTAACACATGCGATATACATTCATAAATACTCTATCCTAAATCTACAGCATATGTTACTAATAATCAAAAGATGAAAGCTTGACAGATAATTAAATGCCCTAACGACTTACATCTTTCCAAGTCATTCCTTGGTTACAACACAATGAGTCTAGCTCAATACAGTTTAAGCACGTGGCTATGCAATTAGATACAACAAAAATGAGCCCTTGCTTCAAATCCCTCTAGCTACTGCCTTGGCGGAGGCATTTCGCCAATAACTGAAAATGGTTTTTTCGAATAGGGTGAGCCAAAGCCCAATAGAAACAACCTACTACAATTTATGAACTTTAACAAAGTTCTAAGCATGATGCGCAAGTTTCAATACTCAATAACAAAAAATCATTTATAATTTTCTTTTCAAAACCAAACTACATCAAGTATTATACCACAATTCATTTCATAGCAGTTCCGTTCATATCATTTCATATTTCCTCAATTCGTGTGTTAG